AGATGGTTGGAACTGTGTTTTATGGCTAAACAAGAAAATAAACAAATATAATGCCAAAACTTTATCGTTGCTTTGCCATTGCAGCCAGCAGAGGCGGAAAACTCAATTGAAAAGTTTGCTGTTCATTTCCGGGTCCGAGTGCTGCCTCCACAGAGTGAGATAGATAGAGAGGGAGAGGAGATGCTGGCGGATGCCTATGCCGATGGCATGGCCGGAAACGGGAGGTGTCAATCTAATATGGCGCTCAGTTTTCCGCTTTCAGAGTTCGGAGCGCGCCGGGACACCAGTCTGGCCTTGCATCGGGATCGGGGCGACATCCTCGTTTGTGTCCGTCGCCAGTTTCCAGTTGTGCATAAATTAACTTTGTCCCTTTTTATTCGCTTTAAATGCAGTTTTTTCTGCTGCGTATCTCCCACAACGGATGTCGTCGCCGTCATTTAGCTCGTTCCCGGCGCTTTGTTAATTCAAAAAGTTTTAATAATTTTACTTTTGCAACTGTGCTCGCTGTGCTCGTGCGCTGCCACTGCACAAGGGGCAGCAACAAGTGGCGTCTAGCCAGTGTATCTCCATCTCCATCTCCTGCTGCTTTGCATATTCTAGCGGGGCTTGTGCGTGTCTCCCCTGTGACGACTGCTGTGGGAGTATCTATTAAAGTTGTCGTATCGCTAAAGGAAACTTTGTCCGGCAACATAACTCGAAAACAAACGGCCAAGGAAAGTGTCTCGGGGATCTGACTTTAACCTTAAAGCTCTCTCGCGCCCACTGCTTGGGCTGGCTTGATCCATCAGTAAATGAAAACACTTGACAAATGTTCTAGCATTGACAGGCTGATCCATAAATGCCAGCCACTGCCCCCCTTTGCTCGCTGACCACTCAAGTTAATTCCAAGCGAAGGCCCACACACATGGACCGACATAAAAACGACAACGAAGCACTTGAACACACAGCCACAGGGAGGCGGAACAAAAGTCAGGGCTGGAACTGGAACTGAAGCTGAATGTGGATGTGGAAGTGGGTGGAGCATCTGTTCGCCGGAAGTGGCTGCCACTTATATAAGTGTCGCGTGTTGTAGTTGCAGTTGTAGTTGAGTTGTACTCATACTCGTAGCTGTTACTGCTTCTGTTGCTGTGTGGCTCTTGCCACTTTTTATTGTGCTCATAATTTGTTAGAGTTAGAGCAGCAACAACATGAATGTGACAGAACTTGGCAAGGGGCACACACATCACACTCCCCCACGTTCAGTTGGATCCCATTCCATTGTGGGTTGGTGTTCGCAACATCGTGACCTAATTGGCTCTCAGTTGGGCCGTACTGCACAATCAGACATTGATTAGTTGATCCAGCAACCATCCCCGTGCCGACCCACCCACCCACCAGTCCAGTCCAGTGCAGTCCAGTGCTGTGCTTTGGCCACAGCGCAACTCAATCAGCAATTAGTCGGCTCGAAAATCCAAAGTTCATAATTCAAAATTGGCACACGCAAATACATCCGCACTAATGGGAATTTATGGCGCTGTGGTTGAGTGCTTCGCTGACTCTTTCCAGTGGCAGATCGCTGCAAAGCCATAGAAAATTTTGCAATTTACAAGAGCCTCCCCGCCTCCCCGCACGGAGCACAATGCTGATGATGATGATGAAGTGGACAATGCAGCCCATAAAGCACATCGTGCACATAGATTACCCTCCAAGTGCACGAGTTCCGGGCAGCAAACGAGCTCCAGATCGTTGACAAGCTGAATTAGGGCTTCAGCTGGGCAGTGTCCACAATTGTCCTACCCGAATGGCTACTCTCAAACCAACTGAAGGGTTCCTTCTAGCCCCTATAGCTCTGCTGCACATTCACAGCCTCCGCCCCAAGCTCATTCCATTATCATTAATCGATTTATGCAAATTTTCGACCATAATAAATATTTTTACACATCCTTAGCCTTGCATAAAAATATCAGTATTGTTTTGTTGATTGAACCATAAGCCAAAATATACTTTGCCGAATTTATTGCCAGTGCTGTCATATGGCTTAGCTTTTTAGCTGAGATTCAGCTGGATTTTACTTTTCAGAGAACATTGAAACAAACATGAATAAAATAATAATAAATGTATAAATAAATCAAAAATAATAAATAAATAAATTTACTGCTGAATTTTTAATACTTTTAAATTTAGACTTTCTCCTGCTCTCGTTTAATACCCTCGCTAGAAATATAGAAGAGTGGGGAGATGGTCTGCTGCTGGCCCATTTAATTCCAATTATACCAACTTAAATATAATTTGCTTTATTTAAGATTTCTTTCCGTTGTTACTTTACTTTTCTTCAGATTTTCTCATGCTATACTCGTTGCTGTTTTCCAAGCATACACAACTGGCATCACTGGTTAGATATTTTCCTCTTCTCTTACGAATTTTCCCCTACAATATTTTCCTCTTCCGTTTAAGGCTCCCCCCATTATCCGTTACACGCAGCTGATGGCCATTTGTTTATGCATTGATAAAAGGCGAATGCCAATACGAACATACGAGTATGTACAATATTCGTACTCTTGGGCTGTTGCTGAAGCTGTTTTTGTTGCTGTTGTTCTTTGCGTGGCCTTTGCATATTAAGCTTATGTTTTATCGCTTATTGCGCACACTGACACACGCATAAACGCAAACGTATATTGCCCACATAATTTAACAAACATTTTCATTTATATGCGTGTCTCACTTTGGCCATGTGTCTGCGTCTGCATCTGTGTCTGTATATATGTGCCTGTGTGAAACATTTATTGCCACAGACTGGTCAAGTTACAGGAGCCAGCAGCCAGGAGCCATGCTGCTTGGGTCTCAGTGCTGGGCGGACCCCCAGTGGCACCCCCCTGCAAATGGATAATTCCGGACTGTGCACAGGCACATGCCCACCAATGAGGCGTACTTAATGATTATTGCATTTGTTATTTTTATTTATTTATATTTATTTATCTCTCGCCCTGGCCGTAGGCACTCGCTTTGTTTTTGCCATTACTTTTATGGCTCAAACGGAGTCCAAGTACATGGCCGGACTTCCCTCTTGTTGCCATCCAATTGTTGTAGCCCCCCGCGTTATTATTATATGTATTTGTCTTCTGCTGTTTGGTGGGGGTCAGGCGCACATTGCCCGGGGTTTAAGCGGCTTAGCTTAGCCAGTGCCGCGGGAGAATCGGGCCTACAGAGCATCGACATTTATTGCTGTCTACTAATAATGTTGTGTACCCCCATTTTGTTGGGCATTTAAGCTGGCACATGTTAGCCTATCCGCCAGCCTGGGGGATTGGGAATTCCTTCTGCTGGCCTGGAACAATGAACTCCAGTCCGCAGCTACGTCCGTACTCGTACTCGTATTAACCCAGCTGACCTCTTTCCGTGTCACTATATACGAGCCAGCGCCCAGCTTATAAATGCTTCGAACAAATGAGCAAAAATCGCACACAAATGGCCAAGCTTCCGTCTGAACATCAAAAGGATATTGCGGATATGGCGGGGACAGCTGCTGGCTCTGGCCAAACATGTCGCCATCTTGGTGGGCACTCAAAATAAATTTCAACAAAAAAGCACAGCAAAGCAGAGGACCGAGTTCTCTGACTCATATTTCGGAGTCCGTGTCCCAGGAGCAACCCTCCCCCACCGCATGCCACACATGCCAAGCCACGCCAGGATGACATGTCCATGCGAGTATAAGAAGTGCAGAAGTGCAGTCGTTGCTCTTCATATAAAATTTCGGTTTGGAGTTTGGTCTCCTTTTCGGTTGTGGTTTTTCTACTCTGCACTCTGTAACTCTGCACTCCGCACTCGGGACACGGGCTATCATTTAATGTTGCATTTCTGTGTCTCTGTTCGTTTCTTTTGTGCAACCGAAATTGGCTTAAACTGTTGCAAGTTCATAAAACAAACAACTAAATTTGAAAAGTTGCAAGTGGCAGCCACAGCCAGAGCCACAGAGCCACAGTGCCGCAGTCCCAGCAAACTTTCCCATTGCCGACAATGATGTGGCCTGAACTTGAAATTTACGTTATTTGAATTATCAACTTTAGAGCTTTGGCGACGTCTGGCCAAAAACTTTCATAGCAAAATCCAATTTTTCTCTTACTTTCAAGGAGTTTTCCCAGTCTCCTCCTGATCTACTCCGCGGGGAAGACTTGCAGCGAGCTGCCGAGCTGCTACTGCTGCTGCTGCTGCTGCTGCTGCTGCTGCTGCTGCTCTCTTTGCATATTTATTTTACAGAATATGCTCTTCATACCTGTTACTCATGAACTAGAAAAGTATCTTTGGGTAGATAAAAAACACAGCAGAAACTTTCTTCCATCCTTTTCTTAGGTGCCTCGCTACAGGAACGAAGCTGCAGCAAACAATGAAGATTTGCTCTGCCACAGAATTTTGTTACTTTTGATATTAAAAATGACTATTTTTTGCGCGAATCTAAAGCAAGTGATATCTACAGATTTAGCTTTCGAATCTGTCCTTTCATTCTCGTCTTCCCTGGGGCATAAACTTTGTTCAACCTGCTGCGGGTGTTTTGCGGGTTGCCATTTAAAAGAACAAAATTCTCTGAAAAGTACTTTTACTACTTACATCCCCTATTGGTGCGGTATGTGGGGCACAAAGTATGCCATAATTCGGTAAAACAAACACAGTACAAAGTCACACCAGGCTCCAACTGCCACAGAGTCCGCAATAATAATCGTCATGTGTGCAATTTCGGCTTACGATGACCAACAAAGTAGCCGCAAAAAGACCTGTGTGTGGTGGCTGTGTGTTAAGCGGTTTAAATGTGAAACATTGTCGACACCCCCCAAGCTTCAATTATTGGATTTTCACGTACACTGAGGCTAAGGCTAAAATTATAGCCAACTGGCAGCGACTTTGCCTGAGATCTAAGCCGCTTAGCAGCCGTGAGCTAACCACAAATTATTACTCTTAGGTTTAATCAAAAGGAGTGGCGCACAGGAACAGCAGAATAGATGACAAAAAAAACTGAGCAACTAAATTGGTTAATTTGTACACGGGCTAATGCTATGTAGCCGTTCTTATTTATTCATTTACAAACATATTCCTGGCTTCATTTATGTTGCTTTAAACTATAATTTAATAGTACTGAATACATAACAAAAACAATTTATAGATTTTATAAATTGAGTTTAAAAGGTGTTTTTGTTTTTGTGTTGTTATTTGTTATTGCCAATAGTTTCAGACCAAGAGCGATTTTTGGGAGGGGGTGGGGAACGGGTATGGTATCGTATAGGAGGGAAGGTTACTCACGAGTATGGGGGGGTTGGGGGCTGGGTTAAGCAGCATCGGTAAATACTTCTGAAGCGGTACTGAATTCACGAAGACTACTTTAGAGTAAACTAGATTAAATATGCACACGCATAAATATATGTGTATCCTTCCTATATCCATACAGGAATATAGATAGAGGGGCTGTGTAGTAGTTAATTCTATTCCTGATTCAGGTTTTTGATCACGTAATTAACAATAAGGGCAAATATCGCAAAGCAGATGACGATCACCAGGTTCGAATAGACAGACTGCCAATTTAGATAGGAATTTCGCGGGCTGTCCAGCAATGCCCCTGCACCTCCATTGGCCAATTCCGCGGCAGGGGCATTGGGGCCATCGATGCCGTCCGCAGCATCCTGCAAGTAGGCCATGCCGGCAGGCTGATTTGGATCGACGAGTCCAGCTCCTCCGTTGGCAATGCCATTGGCGCGCTTCGATCCATTAGATGTGGATGCGCTGCCAGCAGCAGCACCTGCTGCTGCCGCCTGGGTGCCCTGCAGACGCTGCTTTATCTCCTCGACAATGTCGGGAAAGAGCTCACAGAAATTTGTGTTGCGGAGGTTAAATGCGAGCGACTTCTGAGCAAGCACTTGCTTGTCGTAGTTCGATGACTCAATGGAACCCAGAGTGGGAGTGCTTTCCAGCTGGAGGATATACAAAATTACGGAATTAAAGTTCATTCGCGGCATTCCACAGACTCACCATAAAACTTAACAGACCAGTCAGAATGGTGCCCACACACCATGTGGGGTTCCAGGTGTCCGGGTGAAAGTCTGCGTGGAGTGGAGGAAACATCTGACTTGTTTTTGTTTATATTTGTTTATATTTATTTGTTTATACCTGATATGCTCAGGCAGAGTCTGGTGTTCGTCTTGAAGCGTCCGTTAGGGGTCGTCATGTAGATCGATGGCGGCTTGAAGGGGAACTCACGGGGAAACAGCAGTGTTCCGTGGTAGTAGCCGCCATAGTAGGGCGAGTCCTCAGGCCCCTTCACACAGTAATGCCACTCCAGTATGTTGTTGGGCAGCGGTTCGGCTGTGATGTACGGCAAGGGATCGCGCTTCAGGCGCATATAGTCCTGTTTCATGCGCGATACGGCTGTGGGCTGTTTACGTCCGCCAGGCGCCGACGCCGAAGTCATGCTGTCTAGATAATTTTAAGAGTACTCGAATTTTTGCTGAAATGAAACTGATGCGTCGAACACAAATTTAGAGTTGTCGAATACAAGCACAGCACACTTGTTCCTTCCTTGCTAGATAAGAGCAGAGCCAACCGAGACCGAAACAAACACGTGGCCCACGGAGTAATTGCCATTGGAATCAAATTGCAATTCCATTATACAATATGAGTACTTACCCACCTACTACGTCTACAGCCTACAGCCTACAGCAGAGCTGCCCACTCCAGTGCTCGAGTAATGGGACTCGTCCGGGGGCTTCTTCGAATCTGTTTACCGTTCCGCCGGGCATGCAGTCCAGTTGGGGCTTGCTTTGTGGATGTCAGTGTTGCCGTCGTCGTTGGAGCTGGGAAATGCGATTCCCTGTTGTTGCTGCTGTGCCACTGTTTTGTTGCTAATTGCAAAGAATTACAGCTGCTGCCTCAGCGCAAATTGTGTGTGAGAAAACAGCACACACACACAGACGGGGCCGTAATTTAAGAGGCTGAATTTCGATTTGTACGTGGCCCGCAACTGCGCTGACGTCTCTTAGTTAGTTTATGAGTCCAGATATTGATTTGTTAGTATGTGTTGCTTGGTTTTGAGCGCTTTTGGGGCATTATTTTCTATTTTTGTTATAAAAAATTTCTCAACCAAAGAGGGAACTATCGATAGTATCGATATTTTGCTGCTAGCCTCTACTATCGATGGTTTGGAAACTATCATGATAGTATCGAGCTACAGTCGTTGCGCTTTTGATATGTTTGGATTGGGCTGCTATTAAATACGAAGACAAATTTGTAAACAAATCGACAGGTGGCATCTAATTTTAACAATGGACAAGTTCCTAAAAGGTTTTAATGGTTTTTTAATTATTATTTGAGCCCGATACTGTTACGATAGTATCGATTGTTTTTTTCAAAACATTCAACGTTGATATTCCTCGATTTTGATATTCGGTTTAATATTACTAGCTAGTTGGGACTCTCAGCAATACACACAAAATTTTATCCGACTCCTCAATAAATTTTATTCAGGATTTGCTAGTTTTCAGAACACTTTTTCATTGTATTGTTTACATAATAAGGTTCAAACAAAAACGGCCAAAGCATAAAACGTAATTTGTTGACTAAATGTGACGTCAGTGTTGCTGGTCAACCAAGATACTTCTATGCGTATGGACCTTTTGTATACCCTATTTCCTTTAATTGATGTGTAATTTGTTGTTCCAAGCTGCACTGAAACATACCCATATGTTTTGTGTTTTATAAATACATTTATCCCGGTTCTGATACCTATTATTGGTACCCGTGAGCTACAAAATTTCGTTGATGTCTTTTAAAAAGAGACTGACTATATATGGAAAAATAAATAATTTTTTTTTCAAAACATTCAAAAGCCATCGATGACTTAACTATCAATCGTTTGACAGCTCTAGTTTCGAGCGCTTTTAGGGCATTATTTTCCCTATTTGTTTTTAAAAATTTCTCCTGAAGTGCTATTGTTCTAGTGTGCCCGTGGATTTAAAATATACCGAAAATGTACCGCGGAAAATGTACAGTGCTGGGAAGTTCGACTACAACAGGTTGGGTTATCGCACTTAACGGTTAATGTCCGTTGTTATTTGAAATGCGAAATGGTTTAAAATTTGAATTTGTTTTGGCAGAGCTTGCACTAGAGAGTGTACTGAACACATTTCGCAATGCCCTCCCCAATTAATGAGCAAAACATCTGTTGCAGAATGGGACCGACTGAGTTCGTCACACAAGCAAACGGGTGGCTGAAAAAGACTTAGAATCTCTCGCAGTTGGTCTTTCAGCTGATAAAAGGCTGTACTACATACATACATATGTTATATGGAGCACAGCACACACTCAACCCCCGATAAGCACCGATCAGTGGGTTTGTTGTTTGCACTCCCAGTGGGCGGCAAGTGGCATGGGGGGGTGGCCGATTGCCTTATCAATCTACGCGGCTTGTTTTTGTTAACGCCCCAGGGCCAATGGCAAAACAGTTGCTGCTCCGAAGGCGCAAAGTGCAGTCCGGCCGCGATTTGAATTTGGAAATTAGAAAAAATGGCATCGATCGGTAAAATCGGATTCCTCGGAGGGGGAAACATGGCAAAGGCCCTGGCCAAGGGCTTCCTCTCGGCAGGTGAGTAGCAGCAATTACGCCACCGCCTGCAAATATTTCAACACAAGTATTGTGTGCTCCACAGGGCTGGCCAAGCCGAGCGGAATGATTGCCAGTGTGCATCCCGAGGACAAGATCTCGCTGCAGGGCTTCGAGGCCCTGGGCGTTGAGACGGTGGTGAAGAATGCCCCCGTTGTGGAGCAGGCCGCGGTGGTCTTCGTGTCCGTCAAGCCGCAGGTGGTGCCCGCTGTGCTGAAGGAAATCAAGCCGCTCAGCTCCGGCAAGCTGTTCCTCTCCGTGGCCATGGGCATCACCCTGCAGACCATCGAGTCCAGCCTGTCGCCCGAGTCGCGTGTCATCCGCGTGATGCCCAACATTCCGGCTGTGGTTCGCTCCGGCTGTTCGGTCTACGTGCGCGGCAGCCGGGCCAGCGATGCCGATGCCCAGATCACGCAGCGCCTCCTCGAGTCGGTGGGCACCTGCGAGGCGGTGGCCGAGTCCCAGCTGGACACGGTCACGGCGCTGAGCGGCAGCGGGCCCGCCTATGTGTTTGTGATGATCGAGGCCCTGGCCGACGGCGCCGTTCACATGGGCATGCCCCGGGACCTCGCCTATCGACTGGCCGCGCAAACGGTGCTGGGTGCCGGGCACATGGTGCGGGACAGCGGCATGCATCCTGGCCAGCTGAAGGACAGCGTAACCAGTCCGGGTGGCTCAACGGCAGCCGCCCTCAGGCAGCTCGAGCTGTCAGGTAAGTCGCGAGCGCTGCCCTCTCGCTTATCGCCGAGCCAAAGCTCACAGCCGCAACTCTCCTCCTCCCCTGTCGTTTGTAGGTTTCCGAGCAGCGGTCGCGGGTGCCGTGGAGCAGGCGACGCTGCGCTGCAGACAGATCTCCGGCCAGCAGACGTAGACGAGACATTCGATCTGTTTACATATTATTTATAGGCTAACATAATTCGCATGATTCTGTACAAAAATGGAAAGTCGCGAGCGGCTTTCGTGATATAAAGAACAAACTTTGCTCCTACTTTTTGCGCTTCTTGGAGCGGGCCAGCTCGTTGAGTTCGCCCTGCTGCACGGAGGCCTCCTGGTAGATGCGCTTGACCTTCTCGTGCCGCTCCTTGTCGCTGTGGGTATAGAAAAAACATTATGGAAACTGCAGCTGAAGCGTAGGGGGGAGGGAGAGCAACTACAAACCTTTGCAGCTGCTGCTTGAGCTTGAGCTCCTGCACGAAGGCCGTGTCGCGGCGTATCTCCCGAATGGCGCCCTTCTTCTCGCGCTTGATCTTGTGCAGCAGCTTGGCGCGCTCCTCCTTCTCCTTGGACATCTTGGGGCGGCGCTTGTCATCGTAGACCGTCTCGAAACGCGGCTCCAGCATGCGCAGCGCCTTGGGCTTCCGCTCTGCGAGCGCCACGGGCTTCATTGTCTGTTCGGCCAACTGTTGCACCAGCAGCGTCGCCTCCCTGTGGTGCTGGTGCACATGCGCGGGATACGGCTTGAGGCGCAGGCGGGCGAGCAGGGGAATGAAGGGACTGGCCAGGTAACAGGCACCCGTGTGCTCCCCCACCAGCTGCAGCGCCTCCTGGATCAGGCACAGCGTGGCGTCCAGGGCGCGCACCTTGAAGTCCAGCGTGAGCGTGTGGCTGACCAGATCGGCGGCCTGGAGCTTCTGCTGTTCCAGCGACTTGCTCTCTGGCGTGGCTGGAATGGCCAGCAGCTTGCTGAAGGGTCCGTCTAGCTCGAACGGCGGCGCTACCTCCAGCTTGTCCCCGGCTCGCTTGGGTATCGAGACGTACAGGATGCCCTCGAGGAAGTTGAACACGGAAGGCAGGAAACGCTTCGACTGGGAGCCGAACTCCAGGGCAATGGCGACCACAAACAGGCCCATGGCAATGTCCTGACGCGTTCGTACCCGCGCCCTCGACAGTATGTGCTCCATGAAGACGTACGTGGGCGTGGCCACGGGATGTCGAAAGTCCGAGGTGGAATACACATTGGAGACCAGCTTGAAGTAAACGAGCGTGTCCAGCGTGGGATATGTCTTGCGGTTCTTCTGGTAGTCGGCGAACTTCTCCTTGAGCACGTCCAGCAGGGCGCTGGACATGCGCTCCGGATTCAGCTGGGTGAGGCTGTACAGGTGGGGCATGAGGCGCGAGAGCAGCTGGAAGTGCTCCCGTATGTCCTGCTCGCTGGCATCCTCGAACAGATCCTTGATGTACTGCAGCAGGAAGCAGTAGAGCTTCACGACATGCTCCCGATTGACGCCATCGAGCTTGGGGTCATTGCACTTGATGATGCGCTCCACAATGGTGGCCTGCTGCTCAGCGGCATGCTTCGCGAGCAGCTCCGTGAAGTCCTCGTAGGTTTTGGGCATTTTAATGGTGAACGGTATGCTGGAGTCCAGCGACCGCGTTGGGGGCTTCTCCTTTTTGGGCTTCTTCTTTTTGCTGGGCAGCTGCGCAGCTGCCTCCTCCGTCTCGGACTCAGACGCAGACTCATTCAGATCACTGTAGTTCTCATCCTCAGACTCGCTGTCGTCCTCGGATGTCTCCTCCTCCTCCTCCTGCTCGTCATCCTGCTGGTCCTCGGCTTCGTCTCCGCTGGCTTCCTTTGCGGGCGCCTTGCCTTTGAGATGCGTGCCCAAGTTGCCCTCCAGATCATAGGCCAGGGTGTCGTCTTCCTCCTCCCCACCGGCCACGAAGTATCCATCGTCCAAGTCATCAGCTGAGCGATGCTTGGGCTGTGCATTGGCCGCCTCATCTTCCTCGCCTTCGGCTCTCATGCGACGCAGCCGCTCGTTCTCGAGCCTCTCGAGACGCTCAGCCTCCTGCTTGGCCAGCTCTGCGGGATTGATCAGCTTGTCCGTGACACTGCCGCGCGGCTCGAATATCATTTCCTTGAGCAGCTTGTCATAGGCGTCCGCCGGCGGCTTGGCCTCCTGCTCATCCTTTGGTGGCCTTGGCCACCAGTGGCAGCAGCAGCCTGTAGTTGGCGTCCAGCTTCTCCGTCAGATCGTACACCTCGTTCTTCTCCTTGTCGATCTCGTTTTTGCGACGCTTCTGCTCGGCAATCATCTCATCAATGGCCACCTGACGGTCGTGGGGGCTGGTCTCATTCTCATCGCCACCGAAATGGGCAGCAGACGTAAAGTCGGCTGAGGGGACAAGGATTCAGTTAGATGTTTGTCTGGCACCAACGCTCATCTGCCCCACTTACCGTCTAGGGCCTCGTCGTCCAGCTCTTCGTCGTCGGAACGCTCATCGCGGTACTGCTCAATGTCCTCCAGCGTCTGTCCCCTGTGCGTCAGCAGCTCGTCGTCGTTCAGATTGAACTTCTGTGCCTTCTGTGTCGTGCGCACTTGGGACATCTTCTCCGCCAGATAGCGGGCGTTCATCACAGATTCCGTCAGCTGGTCGCCGCTCAGGTGCCGGCCAATCCGATTGTCCTTGAATTTGTTCGTCTTGTGCTTCACGGCAAACTGTTGGCCCAGCGTCTGGGTGCGCTTCTGCAGCGCCTTGGAGCGCGCCACGCCAGGCATGCCACGGTCATGCTTGCAGATGCGCCCCAAGATCTTGAACTTCTCCTTGTTCACATGCACATCGAACGGATTCTGTCGCTTCGCCGACTGCGCTGTGGCATTGTCGAAGGGATTGCTCGACTTGACCGTCTTCTTTGCATACACCGCATCAGAGTTGGCCCGTTTATTCTTCGCACCCATTGCTTATTTCTTGGTTTTTGTTTAAAGTCGAGCGCATTTGGATAAAAACAAGCGGCGGCACACGTGCAACTACATACTGAAATATACTGCAAATATACCTTTTCATTTTTTAAATATACCGTAAATATACTGTATATATACCTAGGCGAAAATCATATTACTCAATTTTTATTTTCGGTCTAATGTTACATGCCAACTAGAGGTTTCGGCGCTAAACGTATAATTTTTTACGATCCACGAATCAATTTTGTATAGAACTAACGAATTATAAAGTCACCTTTTTATTGCCTTATCTATAAAGTAAGAAGCAAAGAGGTCAACAAAAATTACACTTTTTTACTATACGGTAACTATACATTTTCTACATATCAACTACATAGAAGTATGATCATATTGTGTACCTTATTTTCTTTAATTAGTTTTATAATTCTGTTAACATGCTATTTACTTTTTTATGCATCTAATTATATTGATTATGCGATTTTTGGTGACTTTTCAGTATGATATTTTTTTAATGTCATGTCGGCAGTCATGTCATGTCAGTTATTTTCAAAATAAAGGTATTTTGCCGCCCAATTCTTTCTGCATATCACACAAAAACATCGACATTAATATTAGCACCTACAAGTCCAATGCATCGATATATTTATTGATGCATTTTCCAGCACTTAATCGATGTCTGAACGTGTATAGGGCGCTATCAAAGATGGCGTCACTTCTACGGTGTCTGTGTGAACGATTCTAGTTGCCGCTGAAAAAATTCATATTTCTCGCATAAAATACAACTACCGGCCGCGTTAACCGATCGAAAAGCGTTAATCCATAATTCCGGTGTGATTTTCAATTGAAATTGTGCCAGTGCGTGCGCCAGTCGCTGTTAAATCCCAACGCAAAGGATTGTGTGTGTGTGCATCCAGAGAATTTCGAGGTGTGTGTATTGCAGCGCTTTTTTTGTGTGTCCCCCCCCTCCCCAGCGACCCATCGCATCCAGTTCAGCACAACAACATTTTTTGCTACTTTTACTCAGTTTGTACAACAATAAGAATACAACAAATATTTTCACTACTCGTACTACTCGTAGTTTTACTGTGTGTGCGGTCGGGTCGGTCTCTCCCCATATAGTATATACACACACATATGTATAGCAGAGAGCGCCCATCGAAAGAGAGTCGGAGAGAGTCGGTGAAACATAAAAAATTTATCAAATACAATTAAATTATTTGAAACTTTTAATTTGAAAATAAAAAAGTACTGTAGTAGCGAACTCAGCGAGTATCGATGAAACTGAACAACAAATATTTTTTTCACAAAAATATTTATCGATATATCGATCGTTTGCACAGTGGCGCGAATTGGGTGTTTTGTGAACTAAAGTGGAGGGCGTCTCATTTGCCGTATAGTATGCGTATGCCGCCGCCTTCGGTCGTCGGTTTTGAAAGATATAGAAATATCTCCACACACTCCGCCCTCTCCCCCCGCCGTATAGTAGAGCGCAATCTGTTTAATCGGTTTTAACGGCAGAGCAAAAAATCAAGTAAATCCAATGCCCAGAAATCCAAACGAGTACCAAATAATTTCGTGGTGAATGCAAATTTTTCAAGTGCGCAGTATGCGGCGAAATTGCAGACGCAAAATTCGGAGTGTTCCCAAAAGTTTTAATAAATAAATAAATAAATATGTAATTACACACTCAAACACTTGCACGCACACATGCCCCAAATAATAGGAGAGAGTGTGGCTACACTACAATTGAGTTGGTTTTCGGATTTTATATATGCATACACATACATATATGTAGTATGTATATATACATATGTACATGTATATTTTTTACTTATATTATTTTTAGAATATCGATTTTGTTGGCTGCTCTTGCTGTGTGCCTGTGTTTGTGTCTCTCCCCTGCCTTCGTGCGCTCGTGTGTCGGGCAGTAAAAATGTGTTAAGAATTATGTTCATATAGACATAAGTTACCTAATCTAGTGCAGATGAAAGAAAGAAGGGAATCTAAGCAAAATCAAGTAAAGGCAAAATTAATGAACGGAGAAAAATGCCTCATCAAAACAGCTGCGCCGCTCTCTCTCTCTCTCTCTCTGGCTTTCAAGTCTCACCTCATGTACTCGAGTGTGTCTTCCTCTTTCTTTTCACACACGAACACACACACGCACAAGAGTGCGCTTCTGCTTTGTGCTTTTGTGTGCGTGTGTGTGTTTTGCCTTAACGCCACAATCGTATTTTACATGTGTTGACCCCACTTGGACCCCATCTGTCTCACCGCATCTTTTTCCCCTCCCCACCCCTCCCCACTACGCGATGCGTTGTGCAAAAAAAAAAAAAAGGTACACTCGCGAAACTACAGTTTTAATTCAATTACAGTGCTCCCAAAACCAACAATAGTTAAATAACTGCTAATAAGAAGAGAGTACTCTACGCAACGTAACGTAACGCCACTATCTACTCTCCCGTGACGTCGTATGCCAATTAGGGGGAAAAACGAGACAGGTATGACATACCGGATTTGATCAATAGCTGTTAATAGCAGGAGACATTGTAAATAAAAAATTACTGCATGCTGCACTCTACTTCTCTCCCATGACATGTTGGTGGAAGGGCCACAACGGAAGTTTACATCCATTTTTGGGTCTCCAATCTCTCGATTTGCACCCAGCAAACAGTCGAACAAAGAACTGGTTCTAATTGATTGAGTGATTGAGTCGCTGGTATGGGGAGACAGCGACACGGGCGCTGAGGTGTGGTGAGGTGTGGTGGCGGTTCCAGAACCTGCTCGACAAATTAACAAGTTCTCCAATTGACACATACAGGGGCACCACCACACTCACATATGTATGTATTGTATGTTTTGCATGCGGCATCGCGCGAACGTGTGTTCGTTCGTCGAGCCTACTGTTCAAAATTAACATAAATGTGTCAAAATGGTAAATAATGTCCCCCATACACGGATCTCTCCAGGTTGGACAGGTGACGAGAGGGCCCTTGCAATACCCCAATGTTTGACAATATAATTAAACCATTAACCATAATATATCGCTGTCTCTCTACACCCGGATTAATTATAATAATTCATGATACTCCCGACCAGCACGCCCCACTAAAAATCGAAACCCCCTAAAACTGAACGTGACTTGTATGCAATTAAGGTGTTTCTTTCGAGTTCTGTCGGAACAATAAATACAACGCAAAGAAAGATAACATTTGTAGAGCGTATGCAAAAGACGGAATAGAACAGAGTCAACGCTATTTCCAGTTTATTTCTAGCCGTTGCGATCGATCCCCGGATCCAAGTGTTTTGTTTGCCTAAGCGGGTTTGTCACTTGCTATTCCGACTGGAGCTGCCTTTCGAGCGACACTACTGCCTCACTGCATGTCTCTCTGTCTGTCTGTTTGTGTGTGTGTGGACGTGTGTGGGTTGGTATTCGCCTCTCACTCTTTCTGTACCCCAGACTGGGCATTGGCGTAAAAAGTACACACGTAGGCATTGAATACACAGGTAAAACATCGATGATTCTTATTGGGAGCGGATCCCTAACGATGATTATTTTCGGGATTGGCGTGCAAATATCTCCCTAGTACTCTGTCTTCAACATCTCTCAAGTGGTGCTTCTGCCTCCCCCACATTCTCAGGGGTTTCTATTTCCAAGTTATTTAAATGAATTAACCAAGTCGGTCAACTGAAATAAATGCCATGCCATCAGCATGACTCGCGCTTATGCCACACACACACGCACGCACGCATACACACTCGAAGACAATTTGCGTTCCCATTGGAGTTTTCAGTGAAGCGGAATTTGTGGCCATAAATGCCTTGTGGAAGGAGGCACATATGAAAAGTGCTCCACATTCTCCAAAGAGCAGCACCGATTAAGTCCCCTTCACTACCTTACCCGGGGCCGACCTGCTTGCCGTCTGTTCACCTTTTGGTGAACGCACATTCAACCCCCCGCCTTCTCTCACCTCTTGCGGATGTTAATTTGGTTGCAACTTCAACATTTTCTGCCTGGCTGCAGCGGTTAAAGAGCGTGTTTAAAGTCAATTGTGGCACATCAGCAGCACCAGCACTGCCACTGGCACCCCCTTTCCCCGCTGGGTCTCTGCCGTATAACCCCCCCTTTAATGTACATCTCTTTATTTGTGTGCCTCTTTCTTTGCCGTTGCTGTCTGTTTTGACATAACTGACCTCACTTTTTGCCACTCGTTCTGTTGCCTTTGGATTGCAGATGCCACACATGGAACATCTCCACCTGCCTCGTGTTTCCCCCCATGATGTTTACATCGTTATACTCGTAGAGTGCAAATATGGTTGCCCCTTGTCTGCTCTAAAAATAAAGCACACAAACATCTTTAAATATTTCTTTCAACTCCATTGAAATTGACTTGATTTACACAGAGTTTTCGCCATGTTTTTCCCCATCGATGGAGATATTTCAAAAGCAATTGCCTTTCCTTGCATTTTTCCATTGCATTTTCTCGGCACAAAATGTGTTATTCAATCTGATTGCAGCAGCAGCATCAGCAGAAGTTCTTTCAATTTGTTGGAAAAATATATTCTTTAAATTCGAGCTCCTTTCTATATTTGTGTTTGTTTGTTTGTTCTATTGGCAATGCAATCGAAATTCTATTTGCTAGTTTGTTAGAGAGATGAAAAATACTCGCAATATTGGAAAGAAGCTTGCGGCAGGCAGGCAGTCGATAGAAAAAGCTAAAAAGGCTAAAGCCTCGTTAAAAATACAACACTTTTCACAATGGAGCAAAATTAACAACTGTCTGAGCGCAGAGGGCAAATGTTTCTCTCGTTATAATTAGATGATTTCCCACTAGCCGCCCGCACACCCACTTTCTGACAGACGAACGGACGGATGGACGGCCGCCTGACTTTACGACCAGCCCCAGATTTTGCGTTTGTTTCTTTTTTTTTAATTTTTATCGGGCACGCTTTGCTAACGAGTGGAACAATCAGCTGCTCAGTGGCAGCTCCCGCAGAGAAGTGGGAGAGACGCCGCAAAAAGTGGACCGATAAAAGGACAATTAGACGACGCACTAGAATAGTGCAAATACACTCTAACATATTAGCCTTTATAGATGGCAGATTCGGATATTATTCTTATTTTAGTTGGACCTGTTTTAGTTTTGTTTGATCTGCTGGTATCCTGTTAGAGTTCTTCACAATTTGTGTTCCTTAAAAGTCTCCATCTTACGTTGAAGAGTGAACCACAAGAACCCACTGAGCATCCATTAAGAAAAACTATTTGTACATTCATTCCGTCTGTTGGCTGCTGCTGCTTTAGAAATATTTTCACATTTTCTGTCCAAGATACACTCGTATTTTTCGTGTTTCTTTTCGCTTTTCTCCTCTGCTGTTGCTGTTGCTGCTGCTTTCCGCCGCAATTAATGACGTTTTTCATCGCTCATAATATAATTTTAGACGCGGGGAACATTTTTGGGTGCCAGTGAAAAATCTTTTTGCTGATATTTTTACGAATTGGATGATGGGTGGGGGGGGCCTTAAATAAATTTCCGTTTTTCTGCGGGGCATCCTGTGGCGAAAACCCGTGCGTCGTGCGTCTCAAGTGCAGTTCAATGTATTTTTGTAATGTTCTTAATTTATTTTCACTGTTTATTTATAGAATATAAATACTACATGGAAATGGTTTGGTTTGGTTTTGGTTGAGGGGAAATTCCTTAGCTGTGCATGAAATCATTTGACCTTGAACGGAGAGGATTCAGCCGGCGGAGGGTTCAATTTCAATGACTATTCCTCCCCCCGCCCTTCCTTCAGCTGTTCCTGCTCTGTTTCTGTTGTGGATAGTCCTCGAGTGGCCTCGTCATGGGCCTATAAATCAATAAAACAAAAACAAATTCCAAGAAACAGTACGACAGACGGACAGCTGCAGCAATTAAATAAAATCGCACATTGCACAATTAATAATTAACACTTGTGTTTAGCCACCACTAACAAGATAGAGAGAGAGAGAGAGAGAGGAGTGGCCTAGAAGTGGTTTTGTTCTTGGCTTTGAAACAAGTGCACCACACCCCACCCCACCCCACATATCTATTTTGTCTACAAAGGTGGGGCAAATAAAAACAATATCAACTGGGATCGGTTCTCTCTCTGGGTTTTTTCTTTCATTTTTTGTTTTTAAGGTGGCAAGAACTCCTACCATATGGCCATCCATCCATCTTATCTTTCACCTGAGATACATTTTTCCTTTTCTTTGCTGCGTTGTACCCCTGTCCCTCTGTTTGATTGTCTTTGTAGTCCCCACTGCTTATGCGACATTTTTTTGTGCTGATTTTTGATTAGGTGGCTGCCACACCCACACACCAACACACAAACACACACTCAACGTCTCTCTTGCTTATCACAGCTAAAAATCTCTTAATTAAAAAAAATAGAAAAAAATACAGCAAAATAGATTGCGGAAAGAGAGAAGAGAGAGAGGCAAAGAAGAGAAGAGAAGAGAGAGAGATGTGGGCAAGCAGCGCTTTTCAATAGAAAATTTTCCATGCTTTGGCATTGAATTTGCATTGTGGCATACATATGTATGTATATTTCACAATAAGTAGTACGTACATAAATCTATTCACAAAAAATACCTTCCCATACATATGTATGCACATATTGGTGTGTGGTTTATATACCTATTAAATGAGCCGGTGACGCGATAGACGCGAGATAAGTAAATGAAATCATTGAACTGAAAGGCGGCGTCTGACGACTTGCGGCTGCTCGTGCACCGAAAATAGGAACTATTGAGGATGATACTTACGACTAATGGGGATACCCATTGACCCTAGAAATGACTTTGATATTTGCACAAATAACAAATGAAGAAAAGAAATAAAATCCAAAAAACCAGAATAGTGTAAACAAAGCTTAAGATATCCAATAAAATAAAAGTCGATAACGGTGCTTGTATGCGTGGAGTGAGGGCTGCACAGCCCGGTGCAGAGGATAGGGAGAATGAAGATAAGAAAGGAATTAAGGGAGCTGCTGGCCCGATAAGTCTCGAGTGGTAGAAATTGTTGATTCGATAATCCGCTAATTAAATTTCAATTGAAAAATAATCTAAATGGAATTAAAACGAGACTGGGGTGGGGGCCATTCTGTTAGCAAATCTATGAAACAGCTGTTCAAACCGAGTGACCAGTCAGATCTTCCTGCCACTTGTACAAGAATTTAACATGCCCCAGAAATTTGCCTTCTCTTATTAAGTTCCTCCAACATTGCTTCAATATTATGTTTCTTTTTCGTGTCTTTTTTTAATTAGTCAAAATGTTGTGGCTCTAGCTCATCCCAGACGCACAGTGTGTGTCGTCTCGGCGCTTAATTATTTAATTAAATTGAGGAAATTGTTGTGACTGCTGTTGTCTCTTGTCTTGTCTCATCTCTTGTCGTGCTCCCCAGCTCTCCCCTCTCTGCGTACTGCTCTGAGTTTTGGTTCGTCTGCTTTCGTGTTTTACGGTTTCGTCATATGTTTTGTGGC